TGACAAGCAACAATGCTTTGAATGTAGACTGGCACATGGCAAGTGCTTGTTAAAAAGGTTTGTATTCTTTGAATTTGATCACTTTTCATTCAGTCTGCTTGAATAACAGCTCGACACATTGTCATTCAAGCCGGTCTCTGCCACTTGAAGCACCGACACCTGCCAGGCTGCCGCTCAGATGTTCTATTTTCGTTTCTTATGATAAAATGGTGAGCGCATTTGGGGTTGGTTTCTGAAAGTATAAGTAGGTGTTGGAAGCTGTTGTGTTGTTCAAACGGCTTATACTGGTATTTTTACCCTTGGCTCTTCTCACAAGGCGGTTCCAAGTCTTTGTGTTTGAATGGTAGCGAGTGCCTTTCAGCCTCTTTCTGCTGGATGCCCACCAATGACATTGGCAACAAGTTTAATTGAGTCAAGGTCTCAGCACATGAGGCAGCAAATTTTAGGTCTAGGATGAAATACTGCTCTTAAAAGAGGTGGAAACAGGTGAAATGGAGTGTTGCATTGGGCGGGAGTCCAGACTGTCACAGTGGAAATGCTTTTTGGATGTTGACAAGCAGCTCACCTTCAGTTACACGTCCGTTCAAGGGGAATGAAGTAGATCTGCATTAGAAACATAGATGTATGTGGTTAGAGCCACTGTGAGTCTAACCAGAGTTTGGTAGTTTGGCTGTTGCCATATGCCTCCGCATTAGAAAACACCTAATGCAATGAAAGTAGGTGGATCTATAGCGAGAACTTATGTTGTATTCAATTCTAAGCACCAATAAGTATGAAAGAGGTCAACAAGTCCTCATGCTCCGACGGGTTCTACAAATTTAACAAGGTAGTGGAGCTGTCAGTCAATCACTTGATTGGGTGTACAGAGCCTTAAAGAGCCAGAACTGATTATATGTTGACCAAGTGTTCGAGTTCAGCCAATTCAGATAAGCTGTGGTGACGCCTAGCTAACAGCAAGCAGCACCCACCTGTTACTTGACTATGCATTTAATAATTTATGACTTAAAAATTGATGGTTTAAAATGGTAAGTTTTAAAGTTCCCCTCCGTGTGACAGGGTATATTATAGTTGAACATTAAACCTTATTGTGATAGGACAGTCACAGTGAAGTTAAATTATTAAAGATAACAAATAAAACATTGGATACATTTTTGGAGTAGGTAAATCAATACCAATTTCAATACCAAGGGCTGAAGTATCCAAACTCCTAAACAAGGGAATTTTACTATGGACATTTTAACAGTGTTAAATTTATGAGCCATTTGGGGAGAGGTCAGGATTTGAGAAGGCGACTGAATGGAGGAACGCTGACCAATCTCACAGCTGTTGAGGAGTTTCTCCTGGGACTATCCCAAAGAATGGTTTTCTGAAAACTCTCCTTCCTGTTTTGAGTGTTCTTCGTTTATCTTGTAAACTACAAAAAAGCATCTTCAATACGGATATTTCTAGAGCTTGTTTATTGCTAAAACACATTACAATTCTCTGCCTTTTGTACGACTTTAGGTAGAGACATTAAATATAGAAAGGAGTGTTCTTCATACTGTCAAAGGAGACACATTTTTAGCCACAGATGCATCTGTGCTATTTGTCTTTATAGCCTGTCTCACCAAATGAAGCCTCAATTTATTGTGGATAACAATGTTAGGTGACTCTTCTTTCATTTTATTTAAGTAATTGGTCTGCAGTGCTCTGTCTTTTATTTCCCAGACCTTTGGCAAACCTAGAATATGGTCAAGGGAGATCTCAGTTACCTTGTTGTGAGTGAGGAGTCCGGTCTAAGTGGACCAATTTGTCTGAGTACCTATTCCTCAAACTGGCAGAATGAGCCTGAGACAAAGAGGTGGTTTCTTCACGATGTAAGGAAGAAATACAATCAGTGAAAATAGTCAAACATGAACTGTTTGACTTTACACAGAGGCATTTGTATTACATGAAAGCTTAAACACTCAATGCCTCTGAGATGGAGATGAGAGGGAAAGCTTAAAGGCCACATTTATCAGGGAAATGGCGACTTACAGAGTTAGTCTTGTAATTTGTTTTGATTTTATTTCCGGCCTCTTCAGTTATCAACAGAGACCCAGTGGACAAAGAAGAATTATGCATTCTGCCACATGATTTTCTCTTTTCTTTTTTTTTTTATCCCGCTGCGTCTGGTTTATCGTCGTAAACCAGACGAAGAACACTGAGACTTGTTTTTCCCTCGTTTCTCTTCTAATCATCATCTGCAGGGGGGACAGCTGCCCGGCCTTCGTGACCCTCCGAGCTTAAAGTGACAAGTGGAGTCGACCTTGGGAAATTCTCTGTGTCTGCCTGTTGCCAGATTTTCTTTGACCCCAGAGCCATTAGCACATTAGCTATCTTCTCCAGTAAAGAGATTGTGACATACACGCACATTAAATCGAGCAGAACCAAACCTTTTGAGACATGTTTTGTCTGAGCAAATCAAGAGCGTAATCCAAGAGAACCCAAAAATAGACAAAAATGGTGTTTGATGTAGAGATGGCATTTCATTTAAAGATTGCTGTGGTATTTCTCAAACAATTGTTTCACTTTGAATTAAACTGCCAAATGTTACCCTCAGCATGGGAACAGAATAATAGCTCAAGCATCCAAGCCTGCAATCCCCATACAAAATATTCCAATATGTAATCAATATAATATAATCTGAGAATTATGAAGGTTTGACTTTCTGTCTGCTTCCTATTATTACTGCTGGATCTTGTTTGGACCCCAATTGGTTGGCTCGGCTTAATTAATGTGTTGGCAACCGAGTGTGAATTCAGATTAAGTCTTCTAAAGTGTTCCCTGCAGTGAGCATTGTACAAACTATAATTAGAAAATGGAAAAAAAAAAAAAAGTCCATGTGACACCCTTGTGGAAACTTGATTATTGTGTTGCTGTTTTTCTGAAGACTGTCTTTTGTGCAGAAATGACATTCTGCCTCCCTTCAAAATCGGCAGTACGCCTTAGTCGTCCTTTATGAATGTGAGGAAATAAACTGTATTGACACTGGAGGATGTTGCAGAGGGAGTGTTGACGGTTGGTTGTAGGACTCTTTGAAGCTTAAATGACTTAGTGGAATAACACTGGGAGATGTTTTTCTCCTGTCTTGACTCCCGAGGAAACATTTGTTCAACAAATACTGTAGTACCAAAACTCATAACTTAATTTTAGACCAAGCAAAACACTCTAACCAATGATGTTAGTTAATTTATTCTCTATAAAAAGCCATTGTGTTTTGTAGTGTAATACTTTTAAATAAGGGTCTTTTTCATAATGTAGCTTTTAACTAATCAATGATTATAAGTCGGGATGTGCGCGACTAGCCAACTGAATTATTAAACATGGTCACCCCCTATTGAGCCTCAGAACTACTAGCCTGTTAGACAAATTATTAATATCGTTATATGTTGGACCTCAATGTTGGTCAGATGTTGTGCTTAATCTGTAACGCAGCCAACCGCCACTAGCAGGGGCTGTAGCCTTGGTTACTAGGCCTTCTCTCCTGGCTCTACCACCCAGATGTAAAAAAGCACAGTGAACAGATCTCGTAGGAGCAGTGCAGTGTTTGGCTCTAGAAAATGGAGCTAAAGTTGTAAGTAGGCTTTGTCATCGTAGAATGGGATATGGACCAGAGCAATGTGCATCCACATTTAACACAGGCACCTGGAGGAACAAAGGCTAGTGGTGCTAGCACTGCTATTGTTAGCCACAGTCTGCAAAACCAATTTGATATTGTTTCTGTGCAGATGCTGTGATCCTGTTCAGTCTGAAAGGATAACGCAGCTCACGACAACGACTGCTTAACTTAAGACAAGTCGACTAGTGCGAATTTACGTTTTATAGACTACGAGATGGGTCACACGGAACGTCCCTAAATATAATATTAAACAATAAGTTTATTGCATTGAATAAAAGAGACAAAACAAAAATGGAAGGCCACATATGAAGAGTTTTTCCAAGACTGATACGATGTCTTTGAAATGCCTCTGAGACTCTTGAAAAGCTGGAAAGGGCTCTGCAGGTACACCAATCTTTTCATACATCCAATGCAATGATTCATTAGTCCTAAAAAAGTCAACTTGGTTCTTCATCGCTGCTCCAAACCATTAGCAAACACAAGAAAAGCACACTGTGCTGCCACCATGAATATATTGTGGCTGCCACTAGCAACTGCTGTTAATGGAGCGGCAAAGAAAAACCCATTTCAGGTAAATATTCATGCGACATAACAGCCAACAACTGTGGCTTTCAAGTCAAGAATTAACTTTGTGCATTTTTAGGCTGATTAAAGCAGCGTTATAGTCCAAATCCTCAAATCTATCTATTTTTCATCAGAGGACTGCACTGTTTCCAGATCAATTCTTGTTATTGGCAGAAATGCAACTTCAGAAATCAGAATTGAAATTGGCTAGAAAAAAATTATATCCAAACATCTCCATACAAATGTATTGTTGAGGTAATAAAATCAGAAAATGGTAACGTTTCTGTGTTTAACAAAAACACCAAACAAGTAATATTTCAATGAGTAATATTTCAGCTTTTCATCTGTGCATATTGACTTCTACCATCTCCATTTCTACTCAGAAATGTCACTCCCCCTTCTCCCTTTCCTTAACTCTCTACCTAATGACATAATGACACATTTGGTTGGCGTGCTTAGGGACTCTGTTTCTGCTCATGACTCTGAAAGCAGCACTTTATGTCAGATCCACCCCCCTAAAAAGGCTGACAACTGTCTACTGTCCCAGCCTGCCCTTTCACAACCAGCCCTTGTAGGGACCCCAAACGGCGTTGTTTGCATCATCAGCCTCTGTTTGTGTTCTCTGTTGGAAAAAAAATCACCAACAGAGAGTGAACAGTTACAGACCACTGCGTAGACTTATTGTGCCGCTGAGCCGGATTTCAAAATTGCATCTGCTGTGTGTCAATACAAGGTTCTTTTCGGTCAGTTGCTTTCCTTGAGTTAATAATTTTGTCGCTGTGGTTTGCCTTTGTAGAGATCTGCTGGGTGTCCCCTCTGGTGAGGGATCTGGACTGTGGTTCAGCCCAGAGAAATGTAGCGCCTCACTGCCCTCAAAGCCGGATTTGGAGACCTGCCTGCTGTCTACTCATGGTGAGTCATCTCTCAAGTTTCAAAGCACTTAACTCGTGTTTATAGCTGGGACCTGTTTACACCGGTGGCTAAATGGTGTGAAGTAACATTTACAAAACAAGGGAATGCATTCTTAACTGCTGGCAAGAAGGACAAGGTGAAGAATTTGGTTTTATTCAGCAAAATTAGTTTATTTTTAAAGGTTAATTGAAAACTTTCTAAAGAAGATACATTTTTTTCAGTTAACCTTGAAAGTCTTATTTGTTTGACTAAGTTTATTATCCTGTTCTTTTCTAAGCTCAAATTCATGCAATAGCCAATTAACCTTAAATAAATAAAATACCAAACTTCAAAACAAATTTGTGTTACCTTTGAGATTAGGATCAAACATTTGCTGGGGGTTAGGGCTCTCACGATGCCAGAATTATGTCTAACTTCAATCAGTTCTAGTAAAAGATCTGACTATATTAATACCACCTTCAATACCACGGCAACACATTACAAACTTCTGGGTACCCAAAACTGACTCATTTTGGACTGTTTGATTTTCAGCCTGAATATTGTGCTAGTGCAGAAATAGTCACTGAACCAAAACCAACATTTGACAAACTTTAAGTAGCAATAAAAGGCAAAAGTAATATGACTTTTCTAAAAATAATATACCCCAAATAAACTTTTTTTTCATAAGGCAGAAGAAGTGTGTTGTAGAGTGTGTATCTGCAGTGAATGTGCGTCAATCATTGTGCAGTGGTGTGGAGCTCACAGTCAGCAGTCACCAGGTAGGGACTCATAAAACAAGCATATAGGTTCTGGTGACATCACTGCCTCTGTCTTCTGCTCTGTAGCAAACACTAACAGAACTGTGCATCTGAATGAGATGCAGAATAGGACATGAAAAATGTTGGCATTTTCCGGGGGCTGCTCGGTGGTGCAGCGGCTAGAAAATGATGCCTCACAGCGAGGAGGTTCCTGGCTCGAATCCCCGTGGGACAGGAGCCTCTCTGTGTGGAGTTTGCATGTTCTCCCGTGCATGTGTGGGTTCTCTCCAGCTTCCTCCCACAGTCCAAAGAAATGCTTGTTAGGTCAATTGGTGACTCTAAATATCCCGTAGGTGTGAATGTGAGTGTGGCTGGTTGTTTGTCTCTACATGTCAGCCCTGCGATTGGCTGGTGAACAATCCAGGGTGTACCCGCCTCTCGCCCAATGACAGCTGGGATCGGCCTCAGCCCCACCGCAACCCAAATGGGAAAAGCAGTATAGATAATGGATGGATGGAATTCTTCGATATGTGAATGAGAACGGTTAGTCGTGCAGTAGCTTTGAGCAGAAAGACACACAGCGTGCAGGAAGAAGTGCATCTTCAGCGTCAAACAAACAAAATCTGTCACCTTTCTGAATGATTGTTTGGCCATTTTATATCTTAACCACTGTGAAACAATCTGAAAAAGACGTCCTAAGGAATCTTGTCAGAAGAAATGGTCCACAACCTATTTTAACAAATACATTGAAGCTTGGGACTCTTTTATAATTTAAAGTATGTTCAATTGTAGTGCTACTAAATTTAAAGCAAATTTTCAATGAAGCAGATTGGTCCCAACAAGTCAACCTTGGAGAACTGACCTTCACTTTGTCATGATGCATCTTTAAGAACTGAAGATGAATCACCTCCCTTTTTATCAAGAACAACTTTATCATAAGGAAAATAAATTCAAGTTCTCTGGTTCCTTTTTCCTTGGTGCATTTTGTACCATATGTTTTGTGGAGGTGCTGTTTTCTCCTCGAGAAGCTGTCTGTCAGTAGAAGTCTTATTTTAAGAAGTGTCCCGAGTACTGATCGATGCGTCGGCTTGAGGCCATATGTAATTACTTTGTGACTGGCCAGCCATGAAATTGTTGTTTAGCTCTGAAATAGATCCAAAGTCTTTCGATAAGAAGTTTTTTTTTTTTAGGGAGATGCTTTGTATTTCTGCCATAATCAGAATAAAAATGACTGCGGCAGCACTGAGAGTCGGTAAGATAATTGGCTCAGCAAACAAATAAGGTAGGAATTTCTCAAAGGCGTTGTCCTGACCTCTGCAGTCTTATTACCAGGTTTAACATTGCCTCTTCCACACGTTATGTCTGTAGTCTGTTTAGCTTTCCAAATGTGTCTGATGAGGAACAACCTCTGTCAGCTGTTAAAGGGAGTGTAGAGCTCGCACGCTGCAGAGAGGTATGCAGAGTGACAGTCGCTGGCTCACATGTATGCAGCTGTGGCCTGTAAGACGTGAGGCCGGCAAATGAAGTGGAAGAGTAGTCCCATTAAACCCTGGCTCTCCTCTTGAGGAAGAAGCTAACAGCTCCGAAACGCTGGCCTCTCGCTCCCCGGGAGAAAGTGCTGACACAAATTTTTGTCTGACTGAAATGCCTTCTGACCGCATGACACTGGCTCTTTTCTTCCTCTGAGATTCCACAGCCGTAAAGCTCCGGCCACACAAAAGAGACACAGTGTGCCAGCGCTGCTTAGTAGGTGGCGTAAATTATAATGATACCATAAACTAGCTCAAAGGTCTGCATTACTCACATTTTAAAGGGGGGTGAGAAATTAATTTCTTTGTGTTGAGCGGTTAATTGGGTTTATGCGTGAAACTTCCATTTTTCATCTCTTGTGTCGGACACATCTCGGGGACGAGTGAATTTTTTTGTTCTGCAAAGCCTCTCTGTCAAGCTTGTTAAACAGCGTCACAGATAAGATATGTTCTTGGACATCCGTCGGGGATGCATGAATCCTGTTGGTCTTAAGTGTCCTAGACCAGAGACAGGCTGCAGTGTCCCTTTCGGCATGCAGCCCGGCGTCTGTCGGTTTGTGACTGACGGGGAATGGCTCCTGTTGTGGCCACTGATGCACAAAAGCAGAACCACGACAGTGTCTGCAGGCACACAAAGTGCTGCGTTCAAGTCCTCTGACTGTGCGTGTCATCAAATGTGATGCCCTGGCTACTGCTGGAAACTTTTGGTGCTGGTGTTGGTGGTTTTCATGTGTATTCTTTAAAGATGAAAACTGCAGTGACTCCTTTCTACAAGCCTTCTGTAAAGCTCTTGTTTTATAGGCTTTCACCCGATAGTATTAGTCATGCTTTGACCAATTGGTCACTTGAGGCTGTAAATCTGTGTTGAGTGCTGGAGGGGATGATGACGAGAATGATCAGTGTTGTCAAGTTGTTGAAGGTGATCTAAAGAAGACGGTTTCTCCCCAGTGGGGTGTGTGGGTGGTTTGCTACAGCCCACAGCAACTGAACGGGGGAGCTGTGTCAGATTTGACACACTGAAACCCACAAACGCCAACACTGACAGCCAGTTGTGATGAAAACCTATTTACAGGCTTGATAAATTCTGTTTGAAACGTAGGGGGAAAGCTGTCCTCCCTGCCTTGATCTCGACGCTTTAGCTTTTTTAGTCATCTTTATTCAGTGGTATGTAGGCTAGTCTTCTTTGGGCTCTGTTAGGGCTTGTATTCAGAAATCTGATGGAGCTTTAGAGCAGATCAAACAAGAGTTTATTATTCTCAGTAGCTGGAATGTACAAGGAACACGATGCGAGTTGGATGCACATTGTAACGTTGTCTTAGATTGATGGATAAAGATTAAGGAATGCTTGAGACGCTTTAGCTGCTCTGAATGTCAAAGGGGCTGGTGCGTCATGCGTGTACTTGTATGTTTTGTCTGATGTAAAGCAGATAGACCTTGGCTTGGTACAAGTGTGACACATTCTCTCTACTAAAGAGACCTGGGCTTGATTCCTGGAACGTCTACCTCTGGCTTAGTCATGTATTCCAGCTAATACTGATGGGAATTAAGTGGGAAGCCAGTTGAAAGATTGTGTTGTTGTCATTGCATGTGCTTTCATGGACTATAAAGGGAGCAGAGTTCTCGGAATACTCATACAGGTATCTGCCAAATGCCGCCAATACCAGGGATGTGCAAAATTAGCTGACGAAACGATTAAGAATTAGAGAATTATAATTCGGTTAAACTGATTATTATTTATTATCAATACAGGAATGCAATGCTGGTTGCTGTAATGCCGCTGCCCGCCACTAGCCGGGTTGTAGCTTCTGTTAAAGGCTACTGCCATAATGCTCTACCGCAAGGACGTAAACTAGCACATTGGACGGATGGAATCAAATAGAGATAAAGTTCTAGCCTAGAGCTAGCTGCTAGGAACAAAGTCAGGCTCCAAAACCGTAGTCCAGAAACCGATGGGTGACATCATGGTGGCAGTGGGTTGGGGTCCAGGGTGACTAGCATGTAGTTACTCACAGGTGAAACAAAGTTGCTTGTATCTTAGCATGTTTAACTGAGGGCCAACCAATCAACCAACCCACTAACCAATCAACCAACCAACCAACCAACCAACCAACCAACTAACCAATCAACCAACCAACTAACCAATCAACCAACCAACTAACCAATCAACCAACCAACCAACCAATCAACCAATCAACCAACCAACTAACCAATCAACCAACCCAATCAACCAATCAACCAAACAACCAACCAACTAACCAATCAATCAACCAATCAACCAATCAACCAACCAATCAACCAACACACCTACCAACCAACTAGTGCTTTAAACTCACTATGTTTTCTGTAACATCTCCAAAAGACTTCTAATTTAGAAATAATTTCAATACAGCAACTTCCGACTAGCCAGTCTAAGTATCATGCAGCTCATAAAAAGCACCAAAGGCTTTGAAGCTGGACATATTGGTCAGGTCTGGTCTCAGTGACTTTGGATGGAAGGCAGCTGCATTTGCTTTGAGCTAAGAATTTCTCTTTCATGAGGAAATACTGAAAGTTGTAGATGAAAGGTTCAGAAAAGGCTTTGTGTGCTGTCTGTTATATGAGGAGCTATGGCATGTCTTGTCTGTAGAGCTATGCATATATTTCTGCTTCACACAGAGTGCAAATGACAAAAGGCTGTGATGGGTATAAGGCTATTATTTTGATGAATGAATAACTTTCCTGTGTTTATAAAAAG